CGTTGGGGACAACACTTGGGGCCATGTGGGTGCAGCGGGTGTGGCTCCTGCCTGACCCAGCTGTGTGCCAGGGACTCAGGGTTGGGCAGGAGCCATGTCAGCCGCTCCAGCTGGGCTCATGCGGCGCAGCCCAAAGCAGCATGCAGGAACATAGCACAGCACCACATTAACAGTGCCCATGCCCCTACTAGGCCCCGGCCTGGCAGGGCATGGAAAACCCACAGCCCATGGCCCTCTTCCCCCTGCACCCTCTCCCCTGCCAGCAGGGAGAACCTTACCTGAGCTTTGACTTGCTAGGGGCTGGGCTCTCTGGTTTGCAAATGGCTGCAGGGTTGCAGCTGTGTGCAGATAGCCTCACTAGACAGAAGCCTGGCTTGAAGCTTGGTGGCCCCTTGCCTTGAAGCATACACTAGGGGCTGAGGAGCAGAACAAGGCAGGCTGGGCCAGGGAGGGGAGTGACTGTTCTTGCTGCAGCCAGCTGGAAGGGTGAAGGCCAAGAGCTGCCAAAAGCCAGGGCAGCCACAGGCTGGATAAAATTCTCCTTTAAAGGAGCAGCCAAGGACTAGATAGAATCATCTGGAGGGCGAAATGTAGCCCATGGGCCATATTTTTCCCACACCCATGATAAGAGGCTAGCATAATAACAAAATGAAAGACTGAAGAAACAGAAGAAAATGCTTATAGTTTACAATCACCAAAATGTGTGCTGTTCAGTACATTTTAGTGACGTGAAGATGCAGCTCTTTCCTGGACACTGGTCTTCTACGGATCATTAGATTAGAGTGAAGGGAAACAGGACTGAAAGAAGCAATCTTTAGCAACCTGCCTGCCAATCTTCACTGTCTTCTTTGGTCAGGGCCTCTTTCAGGTACAGAACAATCCAGCAGTGGACAATTATTCTGGCTGGAGGGCCACTCAGTGAGCTTTGGTGAGCTGTTGAGAGCCCAAAGGGTAGCCTTGCCCTCCAGTCACCATCTTGGGACCAGAATTCCCACCCCCTGACCTATGCCACCAGAGTCCCTCCTTTTGCCCCTAGAAGTACTCCTTTTTGGCATGGAGGGAGGTGCCCTCTTGGACCCAGAAAAAAAAAATCATGTACTAAAAAATCTACCTACTATAACGTATTTTAATTTTATTGCAAAACATATGTTTGTCCTGATCTGTGTTTGTGTCCTGTATATAGAGGGGATTGCATAATAGCTCTAAAATAAAGTCTTACTCTTATATATTGTATGGGAGAGTGTGTGGGGTGTGGATGGGGGGGGTGTATGGAAGGGGGGGTGAGAGGGGGTGGCTGGGGGGGGGGGGGGGGGGGGGGGGGGAACCCAATATGATAACTGAAACAGTCTAGTTGGGTGGCTGTGGGGGCCTGGGGTTTGTGGGGTGACAGAGGTTGGGGGGGCATGGGGACCCCCCACACATATTTTGCCCACCTCTGGAATAACCCATGTCAGAGAAGAGGAAGCAAAGGACAGTCCAGAGACAACGGCTCTCCCTCTGGTGAGCTTTTTCCACTCTTGCTGTGTTTGTCTTAAAGGAAAAGATCCAGTCTTGATAACTGCAACACTATTTCTGAAGCAAACTTTTCTTCCTCCAGGCAGCATAGTCAGTACAATTTTGAAAATCACCTAAGACTGCAAGTGTGGGAGACCCCTCTATTAAGAAAAAAAAAGGGGGGAAACAATTGATAGTATTAAAATTAAAGCATCAGGTAATACTTTAATTAGTATTAGGTGAGAGGCTCCATACCAGCTCTGAACCGACTGCCCAGAGGAGTTTTCCATCTATTGACTCCTCTGTGAAATCCTATGAAATATGAACTTTCATTTCTACCCAGGAGAACTTCTACAATCTTTTCTCCGATGCCCGATGAAGGGTGTTTGTGCCCGCCACTAAAAACTTGCAATTAAAGAATTTTTTTTTTTTGCAAAAATCTTGTTGGTCTAATAAAAGGTATCATTCTCTACCACGAATCCTGATTCCCTTAATACTTTACGTTTAACATGTGCTGTTGTGCCTTTTCCCCCCCTCACACAGAACATATAAGGTTTTAAAAGGTGTTGGCGGCGCCCATTACAAGAGGAGGAGGTCGGGGTCGCTTGACCCGAAACCCGGAACCACGCCGGCCTCCGGCGTTGAGACAGCGAGCGAGGTGAGGGGTTCATCTGCGACCCCCGCGCGGCTGGCGCCGGGAACAGCCTCTTCTCATGCCGCGCGCGTCCTGCCACGTTTCTTCTTTCTTTTCCCTGCCGTGATACCGATCTGCAGCGACCAAGCAATCACGGGCAATCATTTCCCAAGGGGGAAAAGGACGAAGGCAGCGAAGCCGGGCCCGGCGGAAAAGCTGACACACCAGTGCCGCAGCCCCATGGCCGGGCCCGGGGACTGCCGGGAAGGGGCGGAGCTGCGCGGCCTGGGCCCTGCGTGTCGCCGCGGCGCATGTGCCGGGCTCGGGCCCTCCTCGCCGCTGCTGCCG